AGTAGTTTTATATTAGATTTTTAGACGGTTAGGAGAAAATATTTTTTATCAAGTTTTGACACGAGTAGCTAGCATTAGAACCCGAATCAGCCAAAATTTTAGGAATTCTCTCTGCCGAAAGACTCTTGTTGGAAGCCAGTTTGTGTTAACTAACTTGTTGCACACCGAGAAGCTCCGAAGCAAAACTAGCGCAAACGCAGATGTAGAAGAATTAACCACTAAAATAATATGATAGGAGCGACATCTGGTAATAGAAGATCAGGTATCATCTATGATACTCCCGTAGCCAAAGGGATAATCATCTTTACATGTATAACAGTCTTCATTTCGATACCAGTTACCATTCTCACGAGCATTTACTGGTGAAGAAAAGTCGAAACTTGTTTAAATTCTCGTCTAAATATTAGAAAGCAAACCTAATTGGAGGTTGAAATGGCTTGATGAAATTGAAACGGTGATTTTTTTCTCAGTCAGAAGTTAAAACATTAGCACTGGCAACAACAAGTCATATATATCCAAAAACGAGAGAAAGAAAATAAAAAATACTGTTTCTTGCACTTGATTGCATTCCGATTATAATTCGATTTTTGCGCCATGTTCGTTAATCGACATTCGAATCGTATGCCCTAGTTTCTCACATATTTTTTGGGCAATCAACTCAAACTCGCAATTGTATTCGACATCGTCAGGAAAGAATTGTGTTTGTAATTTTTGCGCTTGTCGGCAAAACTCAAGTGCCTTCGCCCAGTTTGACACTCCGCCATATGCGTCAATCAGAAGTTTACAGTACTGTAGCATATTCTGACAAATCGGCTTTATCTGCGGATGATTTTCAGGTAGTATGGCAACTGCACGCCTGCAGTAATCGAGGGCCTCTTCGTAGCTCGCATTATGAAGTGCGACCACATTAGAAAGCTGTATCATGATGCTAGCTATATTGCCGACAGCATCAGGCACCTTGTTGAGCAGAATTTGAAGACTCTTTTTGAGATTGGATGCCGACTGTGCATACTCATGCAATGCTTCATACACGGCCCCCATTCTCTCATAAGCAACGCAGGTTAAATGATGATTCTCGCCGTAGATTGACCTATAGGAATCAAGCGCTTTCGCGTAGTGTTCTCGCGCTTCTTCGTTCTGCTTCCGAAACAAATACATATCGCCCATATCAATATGGGCTTCTATAGAGCCGCTCTCTAGCGCTTTGTCCAAATATTTACGTGCTGCGTCGTATTCGCAAACCCGAACATGCAGTCTGCCGAGAAGCAAATACGTCTCTGTCACTTCTGGATGTTTCTTGGACAAGAGAGGCTCCCGAATTTGAAGTGCTTTCGTATAATATTCCTGTGCCTGTGCAAATTCCAACTTGTTTAGGTGGAAAGTTCCCATTAGTTGATACAAACAAGCACAAGCGTTTTTGTCCTCCTGTGAGGTCGATGACGCCTTTTTCAGCAGTCTTGTTTTGCATTTTGTAAAAAATTCCAAAGCACGACTATCGTCGCCCATCAAATGGTACAACTCCGCCAAGTGACAGTAAGCCACGGCAGTGTACGGATGATCGTCACCCAGCGTTTGTTTTCTCAAAGAGAGTGCTCGAGTGGCATACGTCATAGCTTTGTCAAATTGATACTTTCGACTGTACAGTAGCATCATCTTGCTATAGCATTCTGCAGCCAGGTGAGGAATCATGGTATGTCCATAGATTTCACGTGCGTTGGTGAAGACGGCTGCCGCCACATTCAGTTTTTCTTGCTTGGTCAGTACGGCACCAACCTTGGTATCGACATCAAGTAGCAACCTTGTTCTCCCTGATGGAATCTCCTCTGGGAGCAGGACCATGGCTTTCTCATAAAACATCTCACACTCATTAAGTTCGCCACGTTGCATTTGAATATATCCCAAATGAAGGTATACACTGACGAGATTTTCACGGTTACCGATGGGCTCCCATATTTTCAAAGCCATATGGAGATGTTCCAGTGCACAATCCAAATGGCCTTGTTGACACAAAATGATGCCAATATTGTGGTACAAAGACGCGAACGACTGGTGATTTGAAGGCATCGTGTCTTTGAGAATGGCAAGCGCAGCCCGACATTTTGTGAGTGCGGTATCCAATGCTCCACGTTCCATGTCTACAGCGGCCAGGTTGCTCCAAAGAAAAGCTTCCTCTGGTCGGTCAGTGAATGCGCCAGGATATAACTCTTTAATTTCTACGAACCACTCGTGCGCTTTCTCATGATCACCACGAAGCCAATAAACAGTGGCGACATTGAACATGACCGTTGCTAGATGTCTAGAATAATTTGGATCGGTATCGTCTACAAGAAGTGACAACTCTTGGGCTAACATCTGAAGAGCAAGATCATATTCTCCGATTTCGGCGAGCGCTTTTGCAATACGGTAGTCGATGTTGATCAAGTTTGTAATGTCGCCAAACAGTCGTTCTAAATCTCCTGAATATTGAAAAGCTTTTTTGTACATGAGACCGCTCGCCCATCACGTCATCATTTAAGGCAGTTATTTGTCATTAACGGTCTCAAATGGTTATTGTAGAGGGCGGACCGCTAATTTGTTTTCCCCATCGACTGTCACACCGTCTTCTGTTATTTCCAACTGGCTGTGACTCCGCGGGGAATGTCCATCGAACCATGCGAAAGCAACAGGTGAACGAATGTATTGAGTTTGAAAGAACAGACTAACATTTTCACAAAATACTAATTTTCCAGAAATGTCGGAGAATATTAGAGTCAATATTAAGCCAACAAAAATTAGAAATGGAAAAAAGTTAACGATGTCGCTAATAAAAAAATTCTAACCTGACAAATGGCCGCGTTTAACCGACGGTACCGGACCGGTGTTAATTGGATGGGTGATCGTGTGATTCCAGAATGCCCTTCATCTCGGTCGCCTGCGCCCATTCACCTTTGTCCGAATACACGCTGGCAAGAGCAAAATAACAGATAGCCTTCGAAGATGGGTCCGGGTGGTCGTTGAGCACTTTCAAGTAAAACTTTACGGCTCGATTTGTCTCGCCAGCTAAAAGCAACAGACGACCGAAATAAAATAAACTATTAGCCTCCGAGGCCGTTTCAAATGTCTTGTCCATATAATGTTGGCCAACTTCGCTTTTCGCACAGAGCACACAGCGGACAAGCCAGACTTTGTCGACTTCATCGTATTCAACACGATCAATGCGGAAAATGGCACCGATGTTGAAAAGCATCTCTTGCTCAGCGGGACTAGAACTGGCAGAGGCGACGTAAGCATACGAGCTTGTTGCAAGACTGGTATCAACAAAGTATTCAAACAGAACGGCTTCCGTTTGCTCTTGTTCATTGCTTGGCTGCATAAACAGTAGAGCAACATCTCGATCGATAGTTGTCGAAAGAAATCCATTAAAAGAAATTAGTTTGCCTATATGCGTTTTCAACACTGAAATATCATCATAAGCAACACACGTGCCTCGATAGAGTGTGTATGAGTCACATCCTAGTTCAGCTAGTTCATCGTACAATGCGTCGATTTGTTCGGATAGATCTTTGATGAACGATCGATAGATGAATATGTCTTCAATATTCTCATCGCGAAAGGCTCGATTAAGCAAGCGGAACAGACACCCAGCGCGAGTGTACCAACGGATGGCATCGACCGGTTTGTAATGTTGAGTAAATTCATCCAAAAAGTCGAGATTCGCTTGACTACAAGTAGATAACAATCAGTCACATTCAATTCTGCACATTGAATGGAATTTACAGCCAAGTAAATCGCAATCTCAGGGATTTCTAGAAATCTCTCCCTTCAGGAAAGGACTTGAAAGAAATTATTTCAAATGTTGCCAAAAACGTTGATCTGGCAATTTTATCTAATGGAAATATCCGTCTACTACTCCTTTCAACTTCAAGGTCACTTTTCTAAAAATTTAAAATATAGTTTCCAGAATACAAATGGTAGACTTCAGTCTTTGAAATTGTTCTCGGAGATCGGGCATGAGGTGACATGATTTACCAGATGGTGTGCTAATTGAGTGAACTATAGTATGCAAAAGTTTACTATGCGAAAATTCAGAACTTTGAGGGGCGAGAAACGTTTTGCTACTCACTAGCATTAGTACCTGTCTTTATAGTACTCGCGTAAATGTGTGACCATCTCGTTTTGCGACCTGCTATCACATAATGCTTGAGCAAGCGTACGAACTAATAGACAAGACCACTTGAAGTCGGCCTTCTTGTCGTGAACATCCACAACTGATCTCTCTATCTTGAACGTAATTCTCAGAACCTTTCGACACTTGTACAAGTCGACTTTGAGACGTTCAATCAGAGGATCGACACGAGTAAAAATGTCATCCGTACGGATTTTGCTGTATTCCGATGTCCACTGAGTATGCGCTCTACTGTTAAGGCAGAGAACATAGATTGCTCGAACTTGAGATAAATTGTGAACGAGAGGTACAAATGCTCGACCAATTGATCCAGAAACGATCAAAAACACATCTTCTTTGGGAATACTTTCGATGTAAGCTAAACACGAAGCCGAATCGGTATAGGTGCGGAAAAAATAGACCACCTGACGCAGCTTGCTGAGATCGCGCACATCACGCACGTCGGTGTCCAGCGTTTCGTCCAACCAGATGAGGGTGAAAACTTCTTTGTTCTCCTTTTGCTCGTCAGCGGCAGATCGGCATACTCCATTTGGAGCTCGTAGAAATTTCGCTTTGAGTTTGTCCATGTAGCAGAATAACCCATTGCCATCCGTATGTATAGGTTTTTTGGGTCTAACCACATCGTCAATTGAATACGTTCTTTGTTGAATAATTTCATCTTCCTTGTAAACAGGCACGCTGATATCGTAGCTCAGTTGTGGACGACAATAAGAGATAACAAACTGGCTGTTCTTCAGGTGTTTGTGGGGTAACAAAAACAATGCTTACACGTTTTCGCAAGAAGAAGTCGTTTTATGAGTCTATTTTACCCGTTCTGTATACTTTCTTTCAGGAAGATAAGTTTTTTTATCTTTATTTTATTTACGTTATCTTCCCGAAAGAAAGTACATCTGACAGGTAAAATAATTGCATGTGCTATGTTGCTGTTAAATATTTTAGTAGTTGCTTTGTCGTGAAGTAAACAGAGTTAGATAGAGGGAAATTTAGTCTTGCTTTAGAAGAAAACTGCTTAGAATATTTACCTTTTTTATAAGTTTCACTCCAATTTTTAATGAATGAGGTAGGATTCCTAACTCACTCATCTACAAATTCTCGAATGGTAAAACTAGCTGTCTTACAAGAACAACCCTGAACAGTAAATTCACGACCAAGGACTTCCAATTCCGGAAACAAATCATAAAATGCATCGCCCTTTTTACCACCTCGTCCATCAGTAACAAACCCGTCCCAATCATCATTTAAGCACACCTGTGAATGTTAATACTCATTACACCAACAGAATTCAATAGTGAATCAACAACTCGCCAAGAAAGATTTAGATGAGGAAGAGTAACGTACACCAGAGTACCCAAATACTTGATACTACAGCTTTCAGCACACAGAGCAAATAGATTACCAATATTATCCAACGTTTCCTTAGTCGCAAAATCAAAGCTTTTACCTCCATCGTAGACAAAATCTTCATCCTCGCTGGATGAACTCTGGTGTTTTTTCTTCGAAAAGGTTTCACTAGAAAGCTTTTTTCTTATATTATTATAAGAATGAGATTGTCGTTTATTCAAAGTAGGTATTTAAATGACAGAAAAGTTAATTAGAACAAAAATTATTAAAATATTCTTTAATTAAAGCTCTCGTCGCGCTCCCTCTTCTATGACTCATTTCACGTGCGGAGTTGAATTAATGAAAACTCAACGCGCTACCTTTTCGGCCAGGTACACAGGAGGACACATAAACTCAGTCAGCTTTATCTCTAAGCAGAAGCAATAGAAATTATCTAAACAATAGTAAGCCTTCCAGTGTGTCACCCAGAAATTGTTTGCTGATCGCGGCTTGACATCCATGAGATTCAGCATCATTTTTTAGCTGTTGCATATTAATTTGACTGATTTGGAATGAAAATCCATTGAAAAAATGGTTCTATGGAATTTCGACAAAAAGAATTTCGCCATCTAAATTTCGAAATTCTACTAGAATTTGGACAACGTTGGCGAATTTCTACAATTGTCAAAATTCTTATGGAAGTACGACAGAATTTTTTTTGCTCGGAATTTTGTTGTCCATTTTCCATCAGAACTTGGACAGCGTGCGTGATTTATATTTCATTAGTATTCATTAGTATTGAATAATAATATTTTTAGTTCATGCGCTAACAAAGATATCTGAGGGTATTAAAAGATGATTCGATGTGATAACGAAAAGAAATACAAAATCATCATTGCACACTTCCAAAGAAAATGTCAAGAGTATCGAACAATGACCTCGTTTCGATTAAAATACAAAGTTTTAAAAACAAAAAAAAATGCCTGCTTGAAAAGAAATAGTGATACCACGGCATTCACATCACTAGATGTCATATAAATTAAAACTTTAGTAATTATATATATACCTCTATATGTATTTTTTTTTGAATAGCTATTGTCCAAATTCTGATGGGAAATGGACAATAAAATGTCCAGCATAAGAAAAATTCTGAGTAATTCCATAAGAATATTAACACTTGTAGGAATTCGACAATGTTGTCCGACCTCTAGTAGAATTTCGAAACATGTCGAAATTCAGGTAGCGAAATTCTTTTTGTCGGAATTCCATTTTACCAAAAAAATCACTTGGCCGTTTGTTCTATCTTTCGAAAGAAAGTGGAATATCAGTGCATGCCTAGGCCCGCCCGCTTTATTGAATCAAATAAACTATGTTTAGAACAAAGATCTATTCTTTAAAGAGAATGTCCGATTTGATCAAAATTTTCAGTGAATGTTAGTCCTCTCAAGATACGTTCATAGTAAAGAAGCCAACTCGAAATGTTGAGTTTTGCAAGAATTTTCTCAAATGCAAGGGTCAAAAAATAGGTCTTGCCATTTAAAGAATTTCTTCTCTTTCTTAAGCCCTAGAAATCACGGGTTGGTTTTAAATTAGAGACAATTCGGCGATGTGATGTAGCAGAGCTCGATCCGAAAAGTGACCCATGATTTTCCGAATTTTCAAAGTGAAACATTGGGAAAACATTCAGATGTAAAAGTTTCAACAACCGGACTCTGCTGCATCATAGCGCCGAATTCTCTCTTTAATCTAAGACCACCTCGAGCTTAACATAGCGAAGAAATTTTATAAATGGCGGCAGGTCCAGAGTAAGCAAAAGGCTTTGAAACATAATGGTGCCTGTATAAGTTGCGTGTTTTAGGGCTTCTCTTTGAATCCAGACAACTTTCCATCCATCGATCTCTCAGAGCTGGAAGATGTCTCATTTTGAAAAACAAATGTGATAAGAAGTTAAAAGTGAATGGCGAGCTCATTATATCAATCTCCTCCTTTTTTCAATGTATTCAACAACACTATCAAGAACGATGATCATCTTATCAATGTCCAGAATCAAGTTACCAAGTACGTAGTAATGGTTTGATAAAATTGTTGGCCGATCCCTTTTGTACCTATTTTCCCAGCAAAACAAAAACAATTCATCATTCTTGAAGGAACTATCATGGGCATAAGTCCTTTTACGGTTTTAACTAGGGCACTTTCCTCTGTCAGCTGGTGTAAGACCATTGAAATCGGAGTCTGACACCTGGGAAAGTTCCCTCGCAAGATGTGGCTGCAGTGTAGACTAGGTTATAGCTAGAAGATTGGGATCTGAAAACGTTTGCTTCTCGAATTATACGCAGCTAAATCCTTGTCTCGAATCTGATTTTAACTGATACCAATCTTCATTGTTAATTGTTTGACATTGTTTTAGTTACTCAAATCACTTGTTGTGCCGGTCAAAGTGGACAATGAGGTGACTAATCAATCGAGAAGATGCTACGTAGCTAGAGGTTTTCACGGAGTCGAATCACATGACGAACGCCATAAGCCGGTAATGAGTCTTGCCATTATGGATGATACAAGTACCATCACACCCTTGAAATGCACTTGATCGTCATATGCTAATAGTCTTGTCATCGAACAGTCTTTTGTTAGCGCATTTCTTTTATTTTTGTCAGGAATGTTCACTTGCCTACCAAAGCGGGAGGTAAACAGTTACTTTCTTCTGGAAATTTTTAACAAAAATAGAAGCAACGTTTTGATTATCACGGATCACTTCGGGTCTGACACGGCAACTACGCAAATCCTATTGAACTCCAAAAGAATTCTGTAGAAGGTACAACAGAAAGTTTTGGCAGGAAGTCTGATATTTCAGAAGGACCCACTGGAACTTTTGAAATATTTCTAATTGGTTTAAACTAATTTCAAGATTCAAAGTAATTTGAACGAATTTAAACTGAAAACCGTTCAAATCAATTAAAAAATATTTTTGCATCCAAAATTAATTCAAAGTATTAAAATTCTGAATGAAGATGAAATAAAAATTACGAAATTAATTCATATTAATTAAACAATACCAAAAAATACAAAATTATTTTTAGTTAATTTTTTCACGAAAAAATTAAAAAAGTCTCATATTAAAATCGGTGTAAACTAACTTTTCCTTTAAAATCGGTTTTAAAGAATTCCTTTAAAATTTGTAAAGTTCAAATTAATCTGAATTAACGCTTTTTCAAATTAATTTAAAGTAATTCAGTCGCAAATCCATCTGGACTAATACGTAAATGAAATTACTTCAAAGCAATTTCAAACTAAAAATTAGTTCAAACGAATCTAGTTCAGATCAATTAGAATCGACTTTTTTGCAAATAAATTGAACCGAGTTTGGATAGAAATGAACTGAAATTAGCTTGAACGTAAATTAGTTTAAATGAATTTCTGGAGTGTTTAATATATATTTTTTGAGAGCGTTTAACGGGGAGGAAAACATAATCCTAGAATATAAAAGATCCAACCAGGGATAGAGCATACTATAGCCGAAGATCGAATCGGTCAGCACCAGTGCTCGACTCCGTTGCATTTGAAAAACAATCATGAACCATTCAAGACGGCTTGCTTTGAACAATTCGCCATCGTTGACAGTGGGATCATATCGTCGGCCTTTATTCAGAAACTCGACAGAAATGCCACCGAATGATTGACAGATTTCGAAGAGAGAGTCATCTCGCAATGAGGGGACATCCAGTGCATCATTCCACAGACGAACATCTGTGAGCAAATCGTTTTCAATGAGATATTGATCACATCTTTTTTCTATTTCCGATCTCTTTCTCTAAGAGGGGTTGTAGCGGGTGAGGCAGAATGAATAGCAGTGTCAGCTTTTTCTCAATATCTCTTTCAGTTTTCATAGTTTCGGACGGATTTTTTTCAAAAGATTCAGCGCTCAATTCTCTATAAAGCCATATACACCAAGGATGTCATAAGAGTAAAAGAAAAGAATTATATAAGTAATACTGCGAACATGCAACATCAACAGCTGTCGAACGTTTTTATGTGAATTGATTTTCGTTTTTTTCCACTAAGAACATAAAAGGAACATTTCAGCTAAAAGCATCTACAGATGATCCTGTTTATAGACAACTGGTCCGTATCTCGCATATTTGAGCTTTCTGCTGGAACCCAGTTGACAGGAAATGACATTTTATCTGAACGAAGATAGACTTTCATGATATAACTCAGTAACTTTTAAGGAGAAAAATTATGCTAAAAGAGATTTTTGGCTGAATTGCATGAATTTTTCAAGTACATGGAAACCTACTCTAAAAACAACGCGTTTTTTTGGGAACCCTGAAAATTTAACACTTTTTAAATGCTATAGAGCAGTGTTGTAGAAATTATTGAACATACTAATAAGATAGAGCCTTTGAAGCTCTACAAAATGCATAGTTTAATTTGTCCAAATATGTCCATATAGCTCGACACGAGAACTCATCAATACCAGAGAACTGTACTTTGTTCTGGAAAGTTGCTGATGTTGCATGTTCGTACACTCTAAAAAAAAGGTTTTACGGAACTCAGAAAAGGTTCTGCACGAGCAACTTTTAAGGGTTTCATAAAATGCCCTAAAAACGTTTCATCACACAAAATGCAGAACTTTTTTAGCTCACCCGAACCTAAAAAAGATCTCGTATGCGAGTATGAAACTTTTAAAGTTTAATACAGAACCTTTTTTGAGTTCAGGCTTCGTACGGAAACTTAAAAAAGATCCTTTCCATGTATCCGTGGGAGGAACCGCTTCTTTTTAGAGTGCATCGATCCTTGACGCAGTTTTAGAGGAATAGCATTTGGAAATGTCGGTCACGGTCTGTAACGTTTTATAGCGATTTTTGACCATGTCTATGGGCAAGCTGGAGGTGGTCACTTTTCTGCCTATATACTTCAAAACTCATTTAAGATCGTGTTTCACAAAATCAGTCCGAAAACTGAAAGAGATATTGAGAAAATACTGACACCGCCATTCATTCTGTCGCGTCCATTAGTTTCTCACCTCTGGAATGTATTTGCTTTTTGAGACAGGTTCGCTTAAACAATTTATAGTAGAAACTGAAGAACTTTATATTTTTCATGCAAGCTCGCTGGTTTCGAGGTGTATGTTGTTTGACAAGTTGTTCGTCATTATTGGATAAACTCTCTGGTAGAGAAAACCACAACTTGAGTGTATTTTCGTAGTTCAATTTGAGTCGCTCCTTAGTGAATTCTTCGTACGTGTTGAATTCAAAAATATCGTTGTCATCAATGTTGAGAGGAGCATCCATCTAGAAAGAGAAGCGACATGTGCTCAACGGGAATAGACCGTTGTCCTGGATTTCTTGTACTTTTCTTGTTCCTATATCAAGAAGTAAAGGCATATTTCCGGAATGCGTAGGAACGACTGTCACTGTTTTTCTTGCATTTTGTACACAAAAAACAAGTACAGTTTCACCTGTACTTATGAAAAATAATAAATCAAACCAAGACTGAAGGCCACGTTCCTCCATCTCGCTTGTGATAGCCCTGTGCGTAGAACCGCAGGAGTGTCCATGAGTACGAGGGAGTACACGGAACAGCATGAATGTGTACTACACATTCGTGCTGTTCCGTGTACTCCTTCGACAAGAAAGTAACGTCACAAAAATTAAATGAGTGTGCTTTTCCACTTGCATCTCACACAAATATACATAGGAAAGAAAAAGAACACGTTTTTTTTATGATTCTGAAGCTAAACGCTTTTAAGTGTTTATGGCTCAGTCATATGTTTCCATATTATTTCTTCGTTTTCTAACGACATTTTGGTGACGAAAATGACTGCATTCCTGAAAATTGGTGCAATTGGCCACAAACTGTCACTATTTGCATCAATGAAAGTCAAAGAGGGAGAAAATGTAGGTCCAGGCAAATGCTGCATTCATCAGGATGCAAAATCTGCGTTTCTCTCTTGATGAAGGTCGGAGCAAAAAATGTTGGTACTTTTTCTTCTCTCACAATTCATTATCCATGCAACCCGCGTCTTAATTAATTGACGTGGTCACGAGAGGACGTTGTCAGTCTTTTGAAAAGGAGCAATAGTGTATAAAACCTGTGTACTATTGTCTTGTAGTGAAACCATTTGACGACCATTTGACAAAGTAATAACTATGTTCATGAGAACGGACGTATATTAAAAAAATATTTTTTTCCTCTCCATACACACTACGTAAATCCACGTGTTTTGTCTCTCTTACTACAAATAATGTCGAGCTCTTCAAGAAATGTTATTTCGAAATCGTTATCAAATAATAATCAAGATCAAATTCTCAACTCTGAAAAAATGGTTAAGTCAATCGTCGCAGCCATTTTGTCTGATACAAATTTTATTGAAAAAATAGTTCACTCTGTCGTCGCCAAAGTGAAAGAACTAGTTGAACCGTTAATGGCTATACAAAATGAAAAAATTAGCGAACTTGAAGATAAAATTACTCAATTAGAAGCAAATCTAACTGATCAAAATTTATTCGTCTCTAAACTTGAAAGCAGCGTAAAGACATTGAAAGATAAATCTAATCATCTGGAACAGTATGGGCGGCTTGATAATTTAGGAATCCATGATGTTCCCGAAATACAAGATGAAAATATGCACAATATTGTCATGAATTTAGCTACATAAATGAAAGTCGAATTACATTCACATTCAATATCCGTCTGTCATCGAACTGGACAAGCTAAAAACGGTAAACCAAGGCAAATTATCATTAAATTTTGTGCTCGTTCTGAGCGAAATTCTTTCTTGTACGGACGCTCAACACTAGGCAGTAGAATCCTGTGTTCATATCAGAAGACTTGACAAAATTGAATATGGACATGCTGATTAAAGCCAAAAATCGTCTGGGTTCAAAGAACGTTTTCACA